GAGAGAGAGAGAGTCAAAACCCAGCGGGCAAGCACACGACATACATACAACATTGGCTGATCACTTAGAAAACACAGCAACCAGCCTTGGAATTGGAATGTTCAGCAAACAGATCAACAGGACATCATTTCCGCAGAAAAGTGTAGTGTTCTCGGACTGCAATTGTGCGAGTCAGTACACACATTGCATGAAATGGAAAACCGCAAAAGGTGAAGTAACTACCGCAATAAAAGAAAGCAAAATAAAAGAAAAGAAAAACCCTTCGTTGCTATTCCCTCCTGTTTTCTTGCAAGTGATTCTGCAATGGCTCATCTAGTGTATACATACTTAGAAGACACAGCAACCAGCCTTGGAATCGGAATGCTCAGCAAACAGATCAACAGGATATCTAGTGTGTGTGGGATCGGAGCTTTTTTTTATTTTTTTTGCAGACAAGAATGTTTTGACATCTCTGTTTTGTTGCCCCCTGTTCTGTTTTATTTGGCTGTTCCCTTCCTCTTTTCTTTGCCTCTTCCCCTTTTGGCTGTGTGCAAGTGGGTCGATATGACACACGGGGTTGGGGGCAGCCGCCGCTCAACTTACATCCACGTGGGCGGCCTTGTACGCAAGAGGTTCTGAACAGGGGGAGTTATAAGGAAGAAGATATAAAAATTGAAATTAATACTCCCTGGTTTTCTTCCTTTTTTTCGCTTTTGCGCTCTCATACTCATGTAATGATATATATATACATTGACGATATATATGACGATATATATGACGATATATATGTATATATACGGTTTATCGGGCAGCTCTGTTTGGCGATATGTATACTGTAAGATGTCACAGTCTGTCACAGCGCCTCGTTTGTTGTCCTCTTCTCCCTGTCTGCCTACGGTTCGCCGGTCATCCCAGCGAAGTGACCTGCGCCCCTCCCAACGAGTCCATCGTTTGCATCACCGACCGCCTCACAAGCCTGTTGCTTGTACAACACCTACCTCGGCTCGTTTGAGTGCGGCACTTCGAGGCGTCGTCCGTACTCTCTTCGCGAAAAAAAATTCGCGAAAAAGATAATCAACTGTTCCAATCAGAAGGTATTCGACGATGTTCGCTGTCCAGAGCGTTGACGAGGTCATGCTTGACCTCAGAAAGAATAAAGGTTCTCTCTGAGGTCTGGCCCCTCATACGGTCGATTTCACGACTATGTATACTCGTCTTTCTCATCAACGGATTCTTAACAATGTAGATGCTAAGGCCGTGGATGAGGCACAGATGCCTATGCTCTTGCATAGGCACGGCAGCATACACACGGACACGCCCATCCTGTATTGCTTGCTCTTCGTATGGTGGTCCCCGTGGACCGCGTGCAAGGGAATGGGCGACTGATACGGGATCTGACACTCCTGTGTCTGACGTTCTTCAACATCTTCGTTTTATTGTTACTTCGTAATACATATCTATATACAGCGGATGGCCTTGTTCCTCATCAAGATGTTGGTATTCCTATGGGTAGAAACGCTGGTCCAGCCTGAGATTGTTGCTAACCTTACAGTCTATTGGGACGAGTCGCCGTGTACGTGGACAACCTGCAGCGTGTGGATCCCTCTGCAGCTCGCCGATATGCTTTCGCTTATAGGTTCATTGATGATGTCCTTACCTTTGGTTGTCTGCCACCATCGCCAGCCTATTGTGGTCTTGAATGGAAGGAGAGCACTGCGGCTGATGGCCCGTGCACCTGTTTAGGCGCGAAACTGCAGGCACGAGCAGACGGATCTCTCCGATCGAGTGTGTTTGATAAGACTGTTGGATGGGATTTTCCTGTTATACGATATATAAGGGCGTTGCCGCACGGCACACGAAACGAAAAACGAAACGAATGTATCTTCCCCCAGGAAACGGCCAGGTTCATCGGTTTGCTATAAATAGTAACGAGTGTATTTCGCCACCTTTCGTCGGCAGATGCACTCGTTTCGTTTTCGTTTCGTGTGCCGTGCGGCGAGACCCATAATTCTAGTGCAACGTCAAACATTCCATGGCATCAGCCTGCAGGTGCGTTCACCGGCCAGCTTACGCGGTTTGAGCGGGTTTGCGGCAACGATTGGCACGATTTCTTTTTTTTATTTTTTTTTATTGTTTATAATTGGCACGATTTCAGAACTGCGGCAACCATGCTTGTCCTCCCACGTTTGCTTTCCCGTGGCCCATTCCCGTGGCCATGATTCCTTCGGCATTGGCCCGAGGATGGACTTGTTACAGTCGTGCTCGCCAGCGTCGACACCCTATTATTCATGTGACTCGACTTACACAATGGTTTCGCCGTATGCTTCGCTGGTCCGTGCATCACCCTCTTCCACCTTCTCCTCTCCTTTCTTTCCCTTCTCCTTCTCCCTCTCCCCTTCCTCCTCCTCCCTCTTCCTCTTTTCCATCTTCTCAATCCTCCTCCCCCTCCCCCTCCTCCTTGTCCATCTTCCCCTCCTTTTTCTTCCCCCTCTTCTCCACTTCCCCTCTCCTTCTTCCCCTTCCCGCTCCCTCTCCCCCTCCCTCTCCTTCCCCTTCCTCTTTGCCAGCATCCTCTTCTTCTTTGTCATCTCTCCCTTCTTCTTCTACTTTTCCTTCTTCTTCTACTTCTTCTTCTTCATCTCTTTTCTTCTTTTATCTGCCTCCTCTAGTTTGTCTTCCTCTTCCCCACACTGGCGGAGATCGGCCCCTCCTTTATCTTCGTTGTCCATATTGGGACGTCAGCAGGTTCGTTCATTCTCTCCTCCTCCCAGTTCCCCTTCCTCTCGACGTCGTGTTGATGCTACTCTGCTGGGTTCTTTGCCTTACCGACAGCCTGCTCTGCCACGTCGACGGCGTTCGTCAATCACGCGTCGCGACCGCGCCAGATCAGACCTGGCTTTCCAGTGGTGTGACCGATTTCGGATCTGCGGGCAGATCTACCAAATGCTTGTGGCTTGACAGCCACAAATGTCTGCCTACCTCAATGGTTTATCAGCGTCAATGTTATACTGCATCCCATTTTGTTACGATTGCTTATCACCTTGACTCTGTTGAAGAAAATCAGTTGTTGTATGACCATAATGGTTCACCTCCTGAGGGTAGGGAGTAAACTATACTCTACCTCAGTAAAGGGCTTTCCTGTAAATGTCTTACAGTTTTCCACGGTCGCCACCTTCTTCTTATGCATGCATCATGCGACGCCAGACGAAGACCTTTATGACCATCCTCCTCACATTTCTGCCTGCATTTTGCACAGACCCGGGCAGTAGTATATGGCACTCGTTGGTGCAGCTGCGCAGTGGGAACTGTGGGATGGTGGGACGATGATTCAGGCTATTTTTTCAACATAAATGAAAATTTCCGACTCTCGTGTGACACCTGTCGGGACAGGGACGCGGTGCGCCTTGGACTGTGGAGTTCATCATCTATGCCGTCACCGTTATCAATTTACTATTGCGGCCGCCGCCGTCTGTGCGGAAGGGTGTCCAACATTTCCTCATTGTGCACATCCTTATCACCCAGATATTCGTTGTCCCTTTTGTGGGCAAGGACACTATCAGGACTGCATGATGCGGCACTGTGATGAAAGTCCTGCTGTTTTTTTGACATGTGGATAGCATGTCCTTTGTCAGGACTGTTTTGATGGGATGGTCCGTGCTAGCCGTCCTGCTGAATGCTGTGCTAGCGCAGCTCTCCTTGGGTATCCTTGTGAACGTCCACGTCATCATCCTCAGCGTGCCTGTCCTATCTGCCGGGGTGGGGGCTCCTCTTCCTGACTTGGTCAATAGAATCAAGCAGGTCAGGAGCAACACTAATTGTAGGACAGATAAAGCTTTCGACACTACCAACAGATACGGAGGTGAAGAAAGAAGGAAAAAAAAAAAAGAAAAAACGAAAATATGAAAAGAAAAAAAGAAAAAAAGAAAAAAATAAATAAATTGCTGAAGAAAAGAAAAAAGAAAAAAGAAAATAGAAAAAAAAAAGAAAAAAGAAAAAAAAAAGAAAAAGAAAAAAAAATGTTGAACTTTGTTGTGACAGTGGCAATTGGTTTATCTGTGGGATGTGTCATTTGCTTTGTTTCACTGACGGATAGGCCTTCCTCTTCCTCTTCCCTTGTCCTTTCTTTGATCTTTGACTGGATCCCTTTCTCTTTTTTCTCTTGCCTCTGTGAGGTTTGGTTTCCTCCTCCTTTTCTTTACCTCTTTTTTGCCTTTTGGCTGCGTGCAAGTGGGTTCTTGTGACACACGGGGATGGGGGCAGCCAGCGCTCAACCTGTCATCCACATGGCTGGCCTTGTACGTACGAGGTGATGAACAGGCGGAGCTTTCCTTCTTTCCTTTTTTTTGTTTTGTCTTTTTCCGCCTTTGCGCTCCGATTCACAGTGTGACAATATATTCATACATATGAATGCTTCTCCCTCTCTCCCTACGGTTTACCGGGCAGCTCTGTTTGATAACATATATATGTATATATGTATAGTCATAGTGAGCTGGCCGGTGAAGCGTAGGCAGGTAGGGAGAAAAGGACACGAAGCTGGGTGCTGTGACAGACTGTTTCCTCGCAGTTTCGCCCAGACGGTCATTCTGAGGCTATTCTATTGAATAAAAAAAATATATCAAGGACATTTCCTTGATATATAACCTACATCCACGCGGGCGGCCTTGTACTTGCACGCAAGAGGTTCTGAACAGGGGGAGTTATAAGGAAGAAGATAAAAAACTGAATTCATTTTTTCCTGTTTTTCTTTCTTTTTTCCTTTTCGTTCGCTTTTGCGCTCTGATACTCTTGTGACAATATATTATATATTTTATTATTTTCTGATTCTTTATAACAAATTGGCTACAGTCTGCCAGAGTCTCCGAACCCATGAATGATATGTTATCATACTGTTTACGTGTTTTTTTGCTTTGCTTTTCCAAACGGGTTTCATAAGACAAAGTTACCTTCAATTGAAGGCCAAATAACTCATGGAGTTTCATATTACGAAGAACGAAAATGGTCAAATTAGAATACGGAGCGGCGGGCGAGTACTCACCTGCCGACTTTTCCACAGTTTCCACGTTCCCGTGGGCCACAAGGTTGAGGTGGGTTTGTGCGGCGGCGAGGTTGCTCACCCCGAAACGGGGTTGGGGTTCGGTGAGGACTGCAGGGATGTCCTATCACTGGTACTGAGCAAACAGAGCATGGCGGGCGGAAGAACACGTTCTTATTTTAGGATATCTTCTGTGTTTGTTTGTCTTTTGCAGGTTTTTTTTCCCGTTATCTGTTGGAAAGAAGAGGCAGACGATAGCAAAACGAAGTAGAATCAAGACAAGGTATGGAGAGTAAGGTTGGAGCTTCTACTTACTGTCATGCATGTGTCCCCACGGACTCTCCTGTGCTCTCCTGTGCTGTGCAGGGTGCTAGAGTTATGCCCCCCGGTCATTTGGGAGGAGGGTTCACACACGAACTTAGGCCATACTGAAAACAACTTGCAGTGTGTTGCACAGGATCTGGAGGAGGAGGAGGAGGAGTAGGAGGAGGAGGAGGAGGGGGTTGTAATGGCAGTGAGATACATTCCGCGAAGGTCCTGCCGCGAGTTTATGTCCTTATTGGGTGCAAACACGAAGTCGCAAACTTGCTGTTGTTGGGAGGTACCAGCAGTAAGGAGCCAGGAGGCCCTCCTGGCCTGCCACGTCGTGTACTAGTTCCTCGACACCACACGTTATTTCATTCCTGGGAGCGCAGCGGGTTTTTGGGACATCAAGTGTGAAGTGAGAATTGGGGGTGTGCATCGGCTGTGCGCGCAACAAGCAGTGTTTTATTCCTTGGACCGGCCAGAAGAAAAAGTTTTGCCAGTGCTCACGTTGTCTCTCTGATTCACAGCGCCAGCTGCCTTCAATCCAGATCCGTTGGGTTTGGGAGTGTCGTTCAGGTGAGCCCGTCTCTCTCTCTCTCTCTCTCTCTCTCTCTCTCTCTCTCTCTCTCTCTCTCTCTCTCTCTCTCTCTCTCTCTCTCTCC